TAAAGTACAAGAAAACTGTCTGGCTGCCTGCGTCTGATTGATCCTGCCGGGTGGTTTCTCTGGGATTTTTCGTAATGAAACAAGAGAGACCAGGGATGATGCATCTTAAGAATGTGACAAAAAAAAACAGTTGACTATTACTCAGACCCGCTTTCGGGCCACGCGAGGAGCGGGTGCGGAGAGGCGCGGGCCGGGTGGCCGCTGCAGGCCGAGGACCCGGGGCGGTTTCGGCGGGGAGGGCGGCGCCGCCGGAGGGAGGGCGGGATCCCGCGGGGAGCTGCCCCGGGCCGGGGCGAGCGGTGAGGGCTCGGTCCTCCTCCCCGCTCGCCGTCTGCCCCCGGGAGCACACCCGAGGCGCCCAGCGCGGCCGGCGCCCCACCAGGTGCCGCGGACGCCAAGGGGTGGCGAGCCCGGTGGGCCTGGTCCGCGGGTCACGTGCCCGGGAGACGGCGCGCGGCCAGTGCCAGGCCCACGCACTGCCCCTCGCGGCACGGGCTCGGCGGGCACAACCGCACCTCGCGGGCATCCGACCGCCCGGGTGGGAGGATGGGCCTCTCGGACCACCGCATCTTCCCTAACCCCGAGCAGTCCAGAGGTGTCCGGGTGGGGGAGGGGAGCCCAGGAGTCGCCTGAGTCCTGCGCAAAAGCCCAGCAAAGGACAACTGGGCCTGGGCGGTCTGCTCGCAACCCGCTTCACAAGCCGCTGTCTCCAGACTGTTGAGAAATGAGCTGGTTCCGGCTAGAAGTCCAGACTGCTTCACCTCACACCCAGAGGGTGGAGGCTCTGGCTGCTCCTTTCTACCTGCCTTTCGATTTAAGGAAAACCCTTTCCTCGAGATTTGCATACCGCTTAAGCCATTGCTCTAACCTAAAACTAAAACACCTCACTGAATAGTGTTTACAAAGGGCGAAGAGAAATTCTGCTTATACACAACACTCTAAAGCTATTAGCTATACAAGCTGCTTTCTTGGTTTTTCTTCTGGAACAAACCAGAAATCCTCAGTAGAAGTCAAAAGTGGCCAAAACTGGAACCTCCAAAAACTAACTTTCAATCTCCTAATTTCCATTTTAAAAATAACTTTGCTGTTATAGTTTGCCAGTAGCTTTAACTTGGGGGTTTAATTTATACCACATTTTAAAAGTTCATTTCACTTTGGCTATCAGTTGGGTTTATTTTCCTTCCCAAAGGAGCTGTTTCTTTAGAATTACTTTTTTAAATGAATTTCTTTCCAGCACACCACACTGTCAGCTCTTCTCTGAAGAGGTACTTAGAAAAAAAAAAAAAAAAAAAAAGTAACTATACACATATTACAACCATTAAGCAACAATCCAAATTAACACTCTCAAGCTCTCTGTTTTCAAATACATGAATTATAATTTAGTTAAATATTTTCTTCTGAGATGAAAGGGAACATGTAGATATCTTAGTTTATCTGTGAGGAAGGACATTTTCCGTGAGATAAACACAGACTGGTGAGCTTCCTGGCAACGAGTCTGAGGAAAGAGACAGCAATGTTGGTGTAATTTTCACCCTGAACATGGTGTGTATGGTTTTAAATTTTTCAGCCCTTCTTCTCTAGTTGCTCAGACTTCCATCTCTGCGTGTGGACCAGGTCTGCAGGGACCCATCAAGAGTCACTGCAAATGGCGTTGGTCTAGGTTTTAGAAAGTGTGGTCCTTTCCTGGATGCCTACAGTTCAGGGGTTCTTGGCCTCAGCTAAGTGAGCCCCGAAGATAAACTCTGCAGGTGACTTCTATTCTGGTGTAGGCATTCATGTTTCATGTTCCAGCCAAGACTTCGGAGATAGTGTGAAATGGCCCCAATCACAAATGTCAGCCTCATCTTCTAGGCAAGGGAGGGAACAAACATCAAGATTTACCTCTTTCACAAAAACTGAGATTTTTAACTTTCACTTCTTGCAAATAAGTAAGAGATAATCCATCTAAAAACACAAATATAGAGAAACAAGGAAGCTCAGTTTCTTCAAGGGATGCAGACTACATTTCACATACAATGCGCGGCATAATTTTCTCTGTTGCAAGCAAATTCATGGAAAACCTACACTCTATCAAAAGGCCATGTGAAAGCAGGCATGATTCCCTTTCTCTTAGTTTTAAGTGCGGCACTAGAATAAACTTGGCCAAAGTCAAGCAAATTACAATTTATTTGTCACTCTGAACTTCTAAATTTGTCTGTTTACATGTAATCCAGCCTAAAATTAGGAGAAAATTTAAAAGGCAAATCTCGACACTATGGCTTACGTCATCCTCTGGTGATAGTCTTGGATACAATGCTTTTCTACCATCTTCTGGCTGTTCCTAAGCTTTATTGGGGTCTGAAGTCAAACATGTCAGGGGCAAGATGCTGGCAGGGACTTGATGCAGTCCTGGGGCCTGCCTGCAGACTACGCTCACATTCCTGCTGCACACTCCTGTTGCGATGAAAGCGCCCTTTAAGGAGAGCAAGGAATCCTGTGGAATGGAAAGGGTAGACGGACAGGATGTAGTTCCCTGCTCCTCCTCCCCATCCTAAGGAAAAAAGCCTGTAATGATACATACCAGGAAAGGACACATAACCATAAGCCAGTGGCTGGGTCTGTGCTCTGTGCTGGTAGGGAACGGCCCCCTTGCTTCTCAACTCTTATTTGTAGGAAAACAAGTCCACACAGTTTATACCTGCTTTCTGAAGAGCATGAAGGTTGGGGCATTGTTGAAATCCTGCTGCCTTATAACTAACAATTCTCTCCTGCTTCTTGAGACAAAATGGAATTGGAGGCTTCTGGCAGGTCGTCACTAGGGAAAAGATCTCAGATTTGGCCAAAGTGGCTCCCCAAAGCTGATGGGGCTGCATCAGGAAAGAGGCCCCTGGTCCTGTGCTGTGAAGTTAGAGCTGAGGTGCGTGGGATGAGGGAAGGGAATGTGTCAACCCCCAGATGCATCTGTAGACTGTGACCTGTACAGGTGGGGTGGATAACTAGAGCTGGCCTTTCCTGGGAGATCTCCACCAGGTCCCAAAGCTCCTGCCCTCCTTTTCTGTGGCAGAAGAGAAATCTCCATCGCAGGAAACATTATTTTATTTTAAAGTGTACAAACCACCCCCATTTCTCTAAAAGACCTGAAGAGAAAGTCACGAGGGTAGCATCCTCCTGAACACCCCCACAAGCTTACGCAGGATGCTGGGGGGGGGGGAGATGCTAAAAAGCAGTGGAGGGAGAAACAGGAGGGTGAGAAATAGACCTTTGCAAGAGAGACAGAGCAAACAAATAGGACTGCAGTCTCTTCCCTCATCCCTTCTCTCCCTCCCCTGGCTCCACAGTAAGCCACCAGAGCCTCCTAGAAGCCTCCGCATTTCTGCCCTTAAACGGCTCCTTTTCCAAGAAAGAACAAGGTCTGTTTCCCTGACGTGGGGCCTCAGATGCTCTGTTATTGCAACTTAATTTTGTCGTTGCTTCTTTTCAAAGATTACTTGGAATGAATTGTTTCTTTTGTTTACTATCCAACAAACGACTTCTGCTAATCTTATATTTTATCTCCCTAACATATGGAAAAGCTGTTTATTCTAGCCAATCACAATAAAGTGAAGAAAACCCCATTTTATGGAAAGGTATATATCACTAGTCTGTTGATCATTAAAGATATGATTACCAGTGAAAACCCTCTGAAGGTGGCACATTTATGCTTCCAGGAACAGATGGGGACACGCATTTTCCTTGCAAATACTTTTGAAATTGCTCTACTGGTAGCAGTATAAAAATGATATACAGATGCCAGGGCCGGCATGGCTAGGACGAGTGCACCAGATTTACACAGTAAAGCCTTCACACGAAGGCTGTCAGTTTTGATTGATCTCCACTATACCTTAGGAACTTGTTGACTAGGTAGGGAAACAGTGCAAATAATTCACTGCAGCAAGTCAGATAATTCACACAGCCAATCGGTCTGCTTCACTTTCTGGCTGTGACATATGAGCCTTCCCTACAAAGATGTATCATTTTCTAGCTTGAGCAATATTCAATGTCAGAAAAGAAAAGGCATTAAAACCACACAAAAGGAGTCAGACTACTGCAGACCACAAGTTGTTTTGGTAATGGGGGCCAGATCCTGCTCTGTGATAACTCCTACCACAGTGTTCAGGCCCAATTGTCATTATCATATTGATTAAAAAAAAGTTCATCATAGTGCAATTTTAGGTTTAATGCCAACAGATCTGGAAAGAGCAAAGAATTATCCCACAAAAGCACAACATTCTTACCACAGGGACGTTTCCCTGTTCCAGTTCATTGATGGAGTTGATTAAGTTTAAATGAAGCAGACACTGGATAAAAGTAAGGGTATTGACCACTGGGCACCACGATCTGTGCTTGAAAGGACCTGATACATGCAGAAAAGCAAGATTTGCTAAATGCTCTAATCTTCAATCAAATCTTACATCAATACAGACAAAGTTTGGTAATGAGAGATTCAATGAAGCATGCAGGAGAGAGAATTAATCCTCTTGGTCTAAACTGGCTTCAACTTTGAAGCTTGCTCCGAAGGAAAGACAGTTATCTAAATGCTAAATAAGAAACTTATTGTACTTTTCATGGCATGCTAATCTTTTGTCTATTTCATCTCTATTATGTGTATGCTCCTAGATTGCAGTTGTCATGGTGATTATATCTAGCCACACTCAGGGGATGGTGGTGAGAAGCCGGGCACTGAGGTGGAAAGGACCTCCACGCAATCCACAGCACACACACACACACACACACACACACACACACAAAATAGAGAAGGGAGAAGTAGATGGACACCAGACCCTTCCCAGGCTTTTCTTCCAGGACTAAAGAGACCAGGGTCTGGAAGAGCAAGCAGGTGCCACTGTTGTGGCCAGAAGCATGTGGTAGGGAATGTTTAGGCATCTTTTCAACCTCAATCTGGTCCCCTATACAGGTTTCTAACTTGTAGTTCAGAGCCTGCCTTCCTCCCTTCCCATATTCCCCTCCCTACAGCATGTCCACCGCCTGAGAGGAGAGGACAGCTGGAGATGAGACCAGAGAAACAGGAGCTCTTCCCCTAGTGTGCTGATCACTAATGGCTGTGGGAGATTGGGTGATGGGGTGGTGGTGGAGGGATTAAGTCATTTGAGCCTGACTGTTGGTGTGTGTGTGTGTGTGTGTGTGTGTGTGTGTGTGTGTGTGTGTGTGTGTGTGTGAAATACTAGAAGAGTGGCCCACGCAACCCACAGTCCTGGCAAGAGGTAGAAGCTACAGGATCCCAGGGCCTTGGTGACCAAAGGTGACCCTGAGCCCTTTATGTGTTTTACAAAAGTTGCCAAATTAAGACAG